ATTTCGGACAGTCAAAATTAAAATTTTAGTTCTCAGTGACATTATCTTGGAGAAAATCAAAACTTCAATTTTGCCTGGGCAAAATTAAAATTTTAATTTTGACCACAACGTATATATATATATCATTTCGATGGCAAAAATCACTAAGAGATCAAAATATTTCTATCAAAGGGGAAGTTAATAAAGAAACGACTGAACAATTTTTTAATATTTTTATCCATATCATGAATTATTCTTATGTTTACTATTTTTGTAGTAGCGAGCTTTTTGATGTAGATTTAACAGATTCATATTAAAATTTGTTATGAATATTATCTTTTTTTCCTCGAATAATTTGAATTAAATTTTAGTCGGTGGATACTTTTATTTTTGAAATGATATATAATTATTTAGACAAGAATAGGTATCTAACTGAGAAAGAGTGAAAGAAAATATGTCAACCTTCAGTGATTTTTGTCATCAAAATAATATTTTTGATTTTGAAAAAGAGATTTTTGGACTTACCTGACTGAGTTATTCTTGAGAAAATTAGCGCACGAAAAATAAATTTAATCAGAGAATCGAGGAAATAAAAAAAACGGATCCCTACATATATTATAGAATATTTAATTAAGACTTTTTTATTAACTTATATGCTTGGGAATAAATAGAATGATATGTATCGATTGAATAAGGAACAATAAGAATTACTGAATAGTTATGAGTGTTGCTCTTTGTCTTGTAATAACAACGAAAAAAAGAAACAAAGAAGTTCGATGCTACTGGTTAGCGCTATCACCAACAGGATAGAAGAAATAGATAACTTCGTGAAAAGCTTTCGTTTTATTCAAGTTAAAACGCATTACTTGCCCTCTCATGATCTTTCGACCCGTTAAGACGCGTTACTTGCTCCAACATAGTCTTTCAACCCGTTAAAATGCGTCAATAAAAAGTTAAACGCGTTGAAACGCGGTTATTTCTTTCATGTGTTCAGTCAACGCGTTATAAAGCGTTGTTTCTTCTATTCTAACCTTCAACGCGTCAAAACGGCGTTTTGGCGTTTATCTGTCTGCGTGGGCAAAGATCATATTTTCCCAATATTTTGTTCTAAAAGAGCTGAGAAAAATGAACTAATTTTATAGAGCAGGCCTATTAGCGAGATGCGTTGAGAATAAGATGATGGAAACTGTGATAGAATTGAAAAAATAACATATTATGATAAACTCATAAAATAGAATGATGACTCTTGAATTTCGTCAAGAGTGATTATAATTTGCACAAAAAAATATTAGCCATAGAAATCAGCTTGTAATCTTTTATGTTCTTGAAAACATAGCAGTACAGTCAGATCGATTTTCTGGGAACAAAATTTATGATGCATGATAGATTGTATTTCTATGTCATTCTAATCGAATGCTTTCGGCTTGAACATTTTGTAACATTTAGGCGTATTTTACATGTTCGTACACAACGGTTTATTCTAAAAAAGCTATTTTGCTATAAAATAATTAGAGTCTAATCAAGTCAATCTGTTTTAAAATAGTGGTAGTTCGAAATATTGACAAAATCAGGAAGTGATGTGTTTTCATTAACATTTGAGTTCTTTGGAAAAGCTGACTCTGTATGCCAAGAAGTAGAATTCGATCAAATAGCCTAATAAATTCAAACAGACAAAAAAAAACATGTTGCCGCTTCATTTTCAGGTAAAATTAGTCATGTACCCACACCGCTCGAGTGGGTGTTGCCTCAAAGAAGAATAATGCCCTTAATTATTGAACCATGCGACGCGACGTCTTTCGTCAGTAAAAAGCGAAGCAAGGTAATGAGACTATCGAGTATCAAAATAGGGATTTCGGTAACGTTATTAGACTATATGCGCTAGAGTAAATCGAGAAATCTAAACCCGATGCGTTTCAGTTTAGATTGCTTTTTAAGTTTTTCTTCAATTTCTTATTAAACCAACTGGTTCATTGAGCCATTCTTTGTCTGCTTATTCAAAAGTAGACTTTTCTTCTAGAATTTTGGTAATGACAGTTTATTAATATAGTTCATAATCAATTGGGTACGTTTGAAATATTCAAATTATTTTATTGGGGATTTTGTGAAATGTCGAGAAAAGAACGAATGTATATTTTAGCAGTCGTGTCTCTTGCAGATCAGTATATGAGAGACAATCGATAGCAAATGCCACTATCAGGGAGGGTTCTAGTCGTTTCATCTAGAAGTACTAGCACCTTGTTTTACATTATTTTCAAGCCATGACTCGGCAATGAGATACGATATAGAAAGACGATGTTTTTACAAGTGATCAGTTAATCATAAGAACGAAAAGAATTTTCTTATAAATACATTTAGAAAAAAGCAATATATTATCAAATTGTGCACAGCAATGTAATGTTATCACGATCTTGTTCAATAACCTTCATTCATAGAACTTTTTAAAACATCGATGTATCAAACTGGATTTTACTCATTCGTTCTTTGGAAAATGCATTAAAATCTCATAGAACTAAATAAAACAGTCTCTTTCGAGGTATTCGAACTTTTATTTCACTAGTTACCAACTCAGTGTGAATTTTTATTCAACATCATTCTCATGATTCATACCTGCTTGGTAACGCTTGTATTCTTGCCAACAATGTAGAATCATCAGGATCGGCAATCATGAGTGTTAGTACGCGTCGATCATTCATAGCTAATACGAGAAAGTCATTATCGGCTATGATGAACGATGCAAAATCATAGATAAAAAATTTTGCCAATTGTCGATGATCATTAATTCTATACATGAATAAAACCCGAGGTTTGACCAGTGCAAAAACATAACTTGCCGATTCATTTAAACATAATTCTTGGCATTCATTATCCAATTGGATCGATTCATAACATGTACGCGAACGAATATTATGCAAGTTAAGCTGAGTTTTTCCGTTGTTGTATGCGACAAGACAGTGCTTTTTCAGATAAAATTTATCGGCTTGATCGAATTGAGTTAGTTGAAGAGAACCCTTATCATTCGATTCGTCAAGATTTACATGGCACGAAATAAGAGTTTTATTATTGAAATACAGTAATAATAAATTTTATGTTCGTTCACCAGTCATAGATTTCAATTGTGACGATGAAACATAAGGTGCAATATCTATGTCAATATAGATAATTCGTTCCATGGTCCAGATCACCAACGATTGTCCATTATCAGCAAAAACAATAAGACTTTCTAATCCATTGAGAGTTAATACCGAGCTGAACATTATCGAACATTGAATCTTCAATTGAATATTGGTTGCTTGATTGAATTGAATTTCTTGTTCAGATGTAACTTGTTGAATAATAGAATATACGATACCATTGTCTGTCAAAATGTAAAAAATGCTATTAGGTGTTGAATGAACTCGTGCTGGAGAACGAAGATGAAGACTAAAGAGAGGTTCATTTTTGAGTGATTTAGCCGAATAGATTTCAATCCAATGATTATTTGTAAGTATGAGTACAAATATGATTTCTGGATGTAACTTGTTAGACGCAATGGTAAACTCATTAATAGTCATATCATCGAGAAAGGAACGAGTAGATTCAATAGATGCTGAATGTTGATATAACCACGATGTGAGTTCGCTAGCAAGATAAAGAATAAATAATTAGTGATTTAGTAAAATAAGAAGATTTTATTATTATAATGAAATATAATTTGCTTTTTCGTGCAGATATCAAAATCTTCGTTTTTTTTCGAAGCTTTCTCGGATAATGTTTTTGTCAAAATCTATATTACTCTTGTTTCTAGAACATGTTATAAAGTGAATAAAATTAATGAATCTTAATTGAAAAGTGTCGAACATTGGACTATCTTTTCTGATACAGATTTTTACGTGTTATATACTTTCATTTCGATCGAAAGTCTATGTATTCATTTGATCAGTTGCAGTGATTAATCCTGCAGTCAGAAATAATTTGATTGTTAGAAATTTCAATCGTAAAATATAAAACTTGAACTGAATTTTTCACCAAAATGTTCTTCGAAAGATTCAATCAGTCAAGTTCGTCGCAGATTTTTGCCGAATTCTTCTGACTTTATTATAATATGGTAGTATCTCGTAAATTAATAGAAAAGGGACCCAAAAGAAATCGATCACAATTCCCGAAACGGTGCTCTGGGATTAACATCTCTCTAAACAGAACGCTTGTACATGTCATAATAAATATTAACCATATTTCCTCTTAAAGTTTTTGCCTCGAATTTAGATCGTACAATTTTTTTGTTGTGTTAATTTTCGTGTAAAATCTTTTCAACACAATTGAGAGACCTGATAGAGCATAAACAATTAGGACATCAATTTTCTAATACTTTTAAAGCGTTTTGTGTCGCATTGAATATTATACAATAGAATTCATAACGGGATATGAAGTGCAAAATAATTTAAAATTTCTCTATGTTGTAGAAGAGAATTATTCAAAGAATCTATCAGGGGCTAACAGGGATTACACGGGTTTAATATTGTTCACAAGAGTAAGGGTGTGTCCAAACCCTTTCTGGTGTACCTTTAGTATTTGTTTCGAATTATTTGAGTTCGTCCGGTTTTTAGTTTCGGTCGGAAGCGATAGAAAAAGTCAATTCTCTCATACTCTACTAAGATTTACGTTGTATTTCTACATCCTTCTCAATGCGTCGGAATCTATAGGACCTTATACATGTGCCTTTTCTTTACGTCCTTTTCTTTACGTCCTTTTCTTTACGGCCTTTTCTTTACGGCCTTTTCTTTACGTCCTTTTCTTTACGGCCTTTTCTTTACGTCCTTTTCTTTACGTCCTTTTCTTTACGGCCTTTTCTTTACGTCCTTTTCTTTACGGCCTTTTCTTTACGTCCTTTTCTTTACGGCCTTTTCTTTA